TGCGTATGCTTTAATAGCGAATCGTTTGTGAACTAAAAAAAAATTTTAAATCAGCTTACTTCAAAAGTCAAGCACATAATGAGACGAAGCGAGATGTTGCAGTTTTTATATGGAGATGTATTCACACAAAGTGAAAAAATAGAGCAATATGATAAAATGCAAATCACAAACTATCAACAACTAATTTTGCAAATAACTATGCAAAAAATTTGCCTTGAAAGGAATGTCGAGACCTTATTTTTCATCATTTTATATCATTTACATCGTTCGTAAAGTCACCCACTATTTATTTGAATAAATTTGCTATAAAATTTTGCAAGGCGAAAATTAGCTCAATATCATATCAAAGCGTCATCGTTGTTTTTTATCAGCGTGTGAATCGTTGTCACAGTTGGGAATGCACTGCTGAAATATTCGAAAAAAATAACATGCCAGCAACTGATTAATTCCAAATTTGAATTGTTTTGCTTTTCGGCTATGTGCGACCTACGATAAAACAATCGATAGATACGATTAATATTAGTAGGTACATATACATGCATATGTAGATGTGTATGTATACATACAAACCCAAGAGGGTGTGAGTGATGTACTGGCAGAAGATTCGACCTTCAGAGTCTTTTGTTTTATTATTTTTACAAAATCGCTGCAGTTATGCATTTTTTATACATAGTTATGGTTTAAATTATCATTCGAATTCGAATTTTCAAATTACAAATAAAATTTTATTTTGCATTTTTATGTCACTTTCGCACCCGCATCATTTTGACTATAAATTTGTCCGCAGTTGCAATGGAAACAACAGAAAGCAGCTGACTTCCAAACTAAGACCAAAGTAATCCAATATCCGAAAATGCGTCAATTTTTGGTAAGATATTTATTCTAAATATACTTGATTACTGTTCAATTTTAACAAACTCTTACACGCTTTTTTTTTCTTTTAAAGATCCTGTGTTCAGTCATCTCTGCAACCTATGCGGCCAGTCTGGGCTACAACTATGAGAGCAACAACGGCCCTGCGCTGGGTGGCGGTCTAAGTAGTGGCCAAATTGGTGGTCCAAGTTACGGTGGTTTAGCTGCCGCTGGTCCAAGTTACAGTGGCCCCTCTTCCTACGGTCCTAGTTATAGTGGCCCTGCTTCAGCTGGGCCCAGCTCCAATGCTCCAGCAGAGGTCAACAAAGAATATTTCACCTATACCGCACCTGAACATGAATTTGATGATGCTGGCAATAATGATCAGTTGGCTAACTCACTAAAGAAGAATTTGCGTGTCATCTTCATCAAGGGACCTGAAAACACAGGACTCGAGAACGCTGCTTTGCAACTGGCTAAATCGGTCGGTGATGATCGCACCGCCATCTATGTGCTCAACAAACAAGCAGACATCGGCGATTTGGCGAACAAATTGCAATCTCTCAACCACCAAAACGCCAACAAACCCGAGGTGCACTTCGTCAAGTACAGGAC